TTTGTTTGTTTGTTGGGGTGTTTGTTTGTTTGTTTGTTTGTTTGTTTGCTGTGAATGCAGCAGTTAAGCAAACAGAAGTATATTGTAAAGCATTCCTTTTAATAAATTTTACATTGCACAATTTGATTGTAATTTCTAGCCAAGATTTTTCTGTGGCGGCAGCCTAATTGCTCGTAACTGGGTCCTGTCCGCTGCACACTGCTTCCGCCAGTGTAAACCGTCTGACATCAGAGTGTACACAGGTACCATGTGGGGGTTTAGATTTTAGTAACACCACCCGTGAGAAATGCGGGCATTTAATCGTTAATCCGTGAAATATCCTTTATATCCGCGCCTGAGCTTATTTTCTTGTTAATCTTATTACATGGTATTCTTCTCACGTAAAGTTTAGGTTGGCTGTCGATTTTCTACCAAGGAATCAATTTTAGATAAAAATGACCAAAGTGTTTCCCTTTATAAGATTTTCCGTATACCAAAGGAGGCAAGATAAGCTTGGCAAATCATTTGTTGTAAACTGTAGATCTCAGACAATATCACTGCAGACATACGTGTGAAGACAATATTGTTAATATCGCTGCCAGTGCCTCAAGATTTAAGGTCCTGTTATATACATTGCCGAAAGTTTTGACATCTTGTGCTTCAAAACACGTCGAAGTTCGAAACGAACAGATCAAATTTAGGTTATAGCTGCCTTTATGCCTCCATACAATATTCAAGCCTCAGACGTCAGTAGCCGCTGCATTATTTTAGGAACAATGCCCAACACCAACACATGGGACAATTTGCGACTATTGTTCTGCAAAAGACATAAACGTTGACACTCTTTCTTCCAGGAATTATAGACAAATCAATGTCATCTCTACAATACTTCGACCCTGCGCTGGTGTATACACTCGACGGTGACCACGCCCTGATAAGGCACGAAGCATTCAACTCGGACAATCTTGACAATGATATTGCCCTGTTGCGGTTAAGTTGTAATGTCAAGCTGAGCTCCCGAGTGAGAACCATATGTATGCCACACCTTGCACTAACGGGTGAGAGCACCTTGTTATAAAACACCTTGAAGTCTTGGATACCAACGAAGTTTTTATTTAAGTATATTCAATAAAAGCTCCAAAAATACATAAAATTGTAATTTTTGGTGACTAAAGGACAAACAAAACTTACTATCTGTATCGACCTTCCAAATACAGTATTGAAATTTGCACCGTACTTTCTATACTGTCTTCTGCATTATTTGGACACACATTCACTTTTCTGTCATTTAAAAAATCATAACAGTAATAACTTCCAGTACAGGGCTGTTTTTCCTCATAAGGTATGCGTTTCCTTTGGTGCATGTTTTGCATTCCAGTGACCTTGAATTGGTAGCTAGATAGTTATAACCCTTGTTATCCGCAGGGAGAACACTCTATTTGCCAAGTGGAGAGCCGTCAATGTTGGCTGGATGGGGAACAGCACAGCCTTATGATTATGGGAACCTGTGCATTGACGGAATTAAGCCTACATCGTCTCTCCTCCGGCACGTCGTTGTCCCTGTGCGCACACACGCGGAATGCAGGCAGAGTTTTCTCCATCACTTTCAGTGTGCCACTGTGTCAGATTACAAGCCCGATATCGCGTTTTGCGCGGGAGTACCGGAGGGCGGTTCTGATGCATGTAAGGGGGACTCAGGTGGGCCTGTCATGAGGCAGCTAACCGTGGCAGACGGTACCAGACGATGGGTCCAGATTGGTATTGTCAGCTGGGGAGAGGGTTGCGCCGTAGAGGGTCGGTACGGGATTTACATCAGGCTGTCGGCTTACACCGACTGGATCCAAGAACACGTTGGTGCTTGAGATTTAAACGTGCTCAGAGGGTTAATGGGTGCTCATGGGTTAATGGGTTAAATCAGCCCCTAGACTACCGAAGAGTGAAAAGGAGTGTTTATGATTATACATGTATTTGTTTGCTGTACCTTATATATATTATAATACCGTATTTTTCTTTGCTCATATGATCTCACCTGACCGTGCACGAAAGTCATACCCCAATCCATGTTTATATCAAATCTTGATGCAATGGTCTGTTCCCCGCCCTGACAGCTGAAGCTGTAGAATAAATTTTCCAGATTATTCATGTCCATTAGTACGTGTGCCAGTTCACGTACACAGTCCATTCTGTACAACCCCCTTTGCATTTTTACTTACATCTTAATTCTCTGTCTAAAGATCTTTTCAATATACAATCGAATTTAACAAGAAAAACATGTCTTCCACTGATCGACAAATATGACGACAGGCTTGCTTTCAGCAAGGAATGTAATTGTAAGATAATTCGACCTTAGAATATATCTTGTGCCCAGAGAAGAGGGTATGCTCACTTTCGTCCCGAATGTCATTGATATTGACATATTTATGAGGACTAATGGACCAGAAGTCCGTGTCTTGCCTAGTTCGGTGGGCCTTTGGAATGATCGGGTTTTGGCTTGTGGTTTCAATATTGTGGCGGTGACACTGATGAAAGTAAAACATGTTGGTAAAATACCTCAGAAAAGTTAGTGTAAAAAGAAAATCGTGTCCGAACATATTCCCATTACACTCCCCTTAGTATGTACCACACAGAGAAGTAGAATGGATCGCTTGAATTTAATTGTAAGGCTAAGATGAGAAATGATAATAAATGGATTTCTCCAGGTGTGTTGTGATTATATTGAACTCAAATAGCACTGTTATTTTCGGAATACAGTATACTCTGGACAGATATCCTCGGAGCCACGATATATCATATCATGTTTTGGAGGGCGGATTTATTGACATCTTGGGCAAAAATATTGAAACTGTCTGGCTTGTGTAATCGCTGAATTGTTTTCAATTTACAGGCATGCATCCTTGCACTAGCTACTGAAATAGATGGTCGATCATTGATCAAAGCAGTGTCAAAGGGGGGATGGTTCCTTTCAAAACAAATTTTTTCTAAGGATTTTTTATCACATGGAGCTTTGTATGTGTTTCTTTCTTGAGTGTGTTTTCAATTACGCTGGCTAAGCTGTTTTTAGTTACTCTATTGATGTTGGGTAGGAATACATCGGCAGTGCCCAACTACATTTGCCCTGAGGTTTCGATCTCAAGAGTTTAAGCAGTACAAAACTGGACGATGAGAGACATTACCATATGACCGATAGCTTTATGATGGATGAACGTATGTGACATGGACAGGATATTGCTTCAAAACGTCAAATGGTCATAAGAAAAATTTCAACGTGGGAGTGCACCAAGTTCATCCTCAGGGGCACCTGCTACCTCCTTTCCCATTGTGGAAATTAGGTTGAAGCGTTAAAATTCCTTTTCAGACCGGACAGTCTCATTTTGATACTTGCTTAATAGTTGAAGCTCTGTCCTATATTTTAAGTATTCGTTCAACTGAGCTAAAGGTTAAGTTGAGGTTTATTTGCACGCAATTTATATTTTTACTTAATTTTTTGCACATTTTCCTCTCAAATAAAGGAAAATAGCGGCAAATAAACAACTCATATTTTGTCAGATCCTGCTTTATTCATACAAACACCTCACACCTTTTGGTCCCCCTAATTGTCTACATTCGACAATTCTGTTCTCTCGTCGGTAACTGTAGCCCTACTTGTCCAATTTTTATCAAGAGTTGAAATTACAGCAAAGCACACTGATTAGCGCAAATTATCAATCACTCAGAAAAATCATTTATAAATGTCGTAAGTCAAGCTACAAACTGGTTAAAGAACTCAAGCCCATGTATGAGATCAACGAGAAGTGCTGTTGTCAATATATACGTACTATTTCTATGCACAAGTACATGTAAGGGGCAAACCATGGCAGGGCTACAAAATAAATGTTTCTCAAATGTATTAATCTATTAAATGAATTAAAGAAATTTTACTTTTTTTGCGTTGGTCAAAGTATGATTTCTGGCATGCCTTGACCCATACGAGGCAACAACAATACTTATAAAAATTAAGTCAAGGTCGGTGAGGAAATAATGAACAATATTAATTCAAATAACGCCCTCAAAACTAATCAGATTGGCTTTGCTTGGTTATGGCCGTTTTTAAACAGCTCTGACTTTCGCCATTCAAGTTTGCTCTACGGCATGAATTCTGGTCACCGTGTGGAGAGAATAGGAAATAATTCCACACGTATATCGAGCCAGCATTTACGCAATCACCCCGCACAAAAGCTAAAAAAAAATAATAGATCTACTAAGCTCCGGAATAGCAACATTCACGACATACCAATAAAATACGACACGACGTGGAATTATTGTTATCCGCTTTATCACATGCCCGATTACAATTCCATCCGGACGTCCAGTCACAAGTCCGGGGTTGAAGTCAGAATCAGTTGACGACAAACATAAGCGAAGTAGGCCATTTAACAAAATTAAAACAGTTCGTGTGAAAAATTTAGACTGATGCCTTCCAATATTGAAAAGTGAAATGTAAAGAATGACTTGACCGTTAAACTCTGGTATGGTACGGGAATGAGTTCATTTTTAAGATCTGCATGCCCCGTGTTCCATTTGGCGCTCCAGCTCCACGAGTTTCTGGTTGATCCGTCGCCACTTACCAGTTCTTACTCGGTCCGCCGTAGGGTATGTGTAAAAATACATTCTTCCATCGATCAGGTACGTGTACCTATCGCAAATAAAGGACAAAGACCAGACGCATTTAACGTGGAGTAATCTGAATGGTATGGGTCGCAATGTAGAAAATGATTTTAACGAGTGCCTTAATGTGGAAGGCAGCAGCGCCGCAGTCGGTAGTTAATCTCACGACACTGAAAACGGGTATCATTGTTGTTGTCAGTGTCGGTGTCACGGGACCTTGCTGCAACGTCGTTGCAGCGTATAAAGTGCATCCTTGCAGTGTCGTGAATAGACAATCAAATGTTTCCATGGCAATGTTTTTTTCAACAAAGCCGCAACGTCGTGAAAAATACAACGTCTACACGACGGAGCAGATGCAACTTCAAAACAATTGTGGCTGAGACCACACATTTACATGTATCTAACTTAATATGTAAATAAACAAAAAAAAGACGTTATCAAATGAGAAAAAAAAAATCAAAATCCAACCATTCGATTAATAAGACATTTAAACGTTGTGACGTTGTCACTACACACTTATACAACAGATAGTAATCAACAATCTCGATTACAGTCGACAGGTACTCACGCATATTCTGCCATGTCCTTAGCCGGCAATCCTCCTGTTCCAATAACCAAATACGTATGTTGTAGCCTGAATTTAGGAGTATCACATCCTTTACTTTTCACAAAGACCCGTACGTCATCATTCAGGACTTCATCAATGCCTTGAACCATAAGACAAAGTAACATAAATGTTCTTCAATTTTTCAACAAAAACGGCATATACCCACAAATGCAATGTACACTATGAAAAATTCTACTGTATCAACTGTATAATGCACCAGCTTGCTTGATAGTCTAGTTTAGAATTTTCAAGGTTGAGGCCGCAGAACATTTGTCACTTGAAGAGCAAAATGTCTTAAAACTAGACATAGAAATAGCTTGGCATTATTATGGCAGTAAAGTGCATCTTATTCAAGTAATGTTTTTCAAACATTCTAAGAAACTGTTCATGCTTCCAAGTGGGACCTGCCCGAATTTGGTATTTAGCAGATCATATCGTGGACCTACCTCGTTTGAGAGGCTCAAGAATTGTCATGTTGTACAGCTCAAAATCACCTTTGCCCACCACAGCATCGACGCGCACTTTGTAAGCTAAGTGATATAGAAAAGAAAAAAAATACACATACCCTCAATTTAGTGAAAAAAAATTATTGTTTTTGGAATTGTTAGCCATAACTGCGTCATGGAAAAATATTAACAGTGTATATAGTTTCTAAACACTCCCTAGGTACAATGCACAAGTTTTTGACCACAGGTGAGTCACTCTGTATCTAGCTCAACTCCTGTTGTATGGCTGTTACAGTATGCTACCTCATTCCTGAAGACGTTTTGTATAAAGAACTAATTATCGAATCGAACACGGCCAATATTAGTCTTTTTCGAGTCTGTATAATATTGAGTAAAATTTATCTTGTCGGTTTACTTTTGCTGACCCCCATTTAAGCTTTAAAAAAGGGACTAAAATATAAATAAAGTCTGGATCACTAACCAAAATGGGCTTCCGATGCACAGGCCCTTACTGTCATTTCGTAAACACTGTAGTCCTTTGAACTCCTGGCCGGTTCACGTGCACATTTCCCTGTTACACACAAATGGCTATGTTAAAATGGAAAAAGTCTTATAACATCCTGGGCATATCCTAACTCAATATCTGGTTTATCCCGTTAGCGCTTCCTAAGATAAGAAACGTTTTGCTGTCTTATTTTGAACACACAACAAACGTAACCGGTGGAAGTGCACCAAACCTTTTCCATACTTTCAACAGTAAAAACAATACACTGCAGTGCAGTATTGCAACTGCGTAAGTCCACAGCAAAGTTATCATGGGCAAAAGCTACATTAAATGGGAAGATGTAGTTTCCTAATTCTCAGTCCTTCAATTTTTATTTATAGCCAAGAACTGGAAACTACATATTTCGAAGGAGGTTGACAAATACAAAATACTGCAACGTTCACGGCGCGGTCTTTGACCAATTTGGGCGATCGACTTCATGAAGTTGATAATTTGTACATTAGAATAGACACACTTCACTGAGACTGCAGGTATTGAGTTCTAACTGGTTCGTTTCAACAAACAAGATAATATATTACAGCAGTTCAAGCCTCTTCGTTGCGCTTGCCTTCACACAATACACCCACACGCAATACAGCCCAAAACATAGGATTACCCCCACACTGTGTTGTGCGCGCTGACCCACATCGGGGCCAACTCGCAACAAATCCTAAATTGCATACAAGAATTGAAGCCCGTTAACTGTTCTACTACGCTATATTTGTTACAGTATTGTGGTTAATTCTTTTTGTGAGTAAAATTAGATTTAGTTTCAAATACGATTTCGCTTTTCATTGCTACCGGCTGTAGTTATTCGCTTCTCGAACACGCTGTTATGGCGAAAACGGTTCCTTTCGATCTATGACTGTTTGACCAACCGTCTTTCTTTTTTACCTTCTTTATTTTGTACACAAGCCAATAAGCCTTTTGCGTGTTAAGTTTGAATAGAATCCGGTACACCCTGCTATCTTATTTCACAGAAACAGAACGATTGGAATTCCCCAAACTAAAGACACTGTTGCTATTACCTCGTGATTCGGGGCAAAGCTTTTGCATAGAGACCACTATCTCTGGAATGGACCGGTTCCTTTGTGCCCTTCTCATTCCCAAGAAAACAGCCATTGATGCAAGGCGTCTCTTATGTAACTAAAGATTACCCCGAATCACAAGGTATAGTATGAAATTTGCTGGTTCATGAACGACTAGGAAATCTACGCATTACGGCTGCTTCGCAACCAAGAAAACTAATGCTCTTGAGCAAGATGGATCATTTCAACCGATGGGTAGATGCTTCTGCTCAAGGCGAATACGCATGCTGTTTCAGCTTCTGATTCGCATGATAAATTAAAAAGCACGACAGTAGCCGTTTTCATGCAGATACCTGCGGGCAGCTGGATCGTGTGAAATACCTTGAATACATGACAAATACGGTTCGAAGCCTGGGATATCGATTTTAAAGAGAAAAACGTACCAGAAACCGATACAATCACAATCCACTAAAAGACTCAAACATTGGAATGCTTTTTTTATAGATGACAAACGACAATAAAAAAGAACGTGCAAAATATAAATGGAACAGGGCTCTGCTTAGTCTCTCCCGATATTTTCTCCACTACTTCCAACATGATAAACTTAGGGAGAAAACTATGCACCATCCATAAGCAGCCTAATGTTGTTGTCTTTACCACCGATTGCAACTAGGACCATCGCTGTTACCTTTCTGTAACCAAAATGCGTGGGTAAATGAATCGTAGAAATTCTTTTTAAAAAGTATCAACTCAACACGTCCACTGAATGAATTGTTCATTAAACACACATACACCCACATACGAATGGATTCAGATTTATAGGGTGTATTTATTTTCATGTACGAAATTACAGTACCGATAAAGTAATTCACATTCACAAAAAGGAAAACCAATTACCTGCGGCACACACGCACGTGTCTCCCTCACAAAACGTTGGAATGGAGGAGTAGCCCTCTTTGCGACTGACGAACTTTACACATTCTTCTGCTTTTACAAATGAAATTTCAGATTTGTTTATAGCTAAAAAATGCACAGCAAATAAAATGAAGATCACTGACAAGTAAAATTCTACACAAGTGCAATTAATTATTTATAGAGAAATGGTCAGCCATAAATAGGGGTTGGTTGGAAAACAGAACTGTCCTCTATCACGACAGTTTTCTAACCAATATTACTATAAGGCTTTTTGGAATAAACCCCTGGTGTGGAACACCTACAGTAGAAATCAGACCAAAATCAAACTAGAGGAATGTGGTTGTGAACAGCCACAGAGCTGCTTCGGATTCAGAACCTTTACTAAGCATCATTTGTATATTTTGTGAGCAATTAAATTCCAAGAAAAAAGTCTTTTAGAAAGGGTGATTCCCACAGTCCTAGTCGTTCGACCAGTCCTTGCTTTTTTCTCAGACTGCAGAAGCTGGAACGAGTACGAACTGCTCGGCACAGGGCATTTTCCTCACTTATGCCACGGTAGCGGCTGCAAGTGTGTGTATATGTGTAGTATGCACCAAAGTGAGGGCAAAAGTCACCTTGTACAGAAATTATAGCAGACAATCTTACTGGTAAATGGCGCTATTACTTCATACTAGGCTCTTAAATACAGATCGTGCTAAACTTATATATCTGAATGTCGTGAATTGAAATTTACGGTTTTTTTCTGTAGAAAGTGGAAGTAATTGGACTCGATTCATTATGCACCATCCATAAGCAGATAGGAAGATGGCAGTAGTATTGTATGTAAATTCGTATGCAAGTAAACTTTGAAAAACCAATCAACGAATGAGGTCATTGTGACGTCAATTCAGAAATGCAGTCAGGGATTAACTGTTAACGTACCTAGTGAATTTTACAAGGATCCTAAATTGCCTACCATGTAGAATTAAAAATCGTACATTTTGGTGACATCATCATGACATCACTAAATTTTCCAACGAATGGATATCTAATACACATGCTGGAGGTCGAGCAAAAAGAATTTTGAAAAAACTTGTTTGGGTCAGGAGATATGAAAAAAGAATGTCAAAATGACACAAAATTTACAAATCGTCAAAAAATCAGGTGGTGACGTCAACAAGATGTAACCCACATTTTCACATATAACACATTTGGATTGGTTTTTATGCTAACTTTTCTCTTTGGCAATTTCGTTCTACTACAAAAAGTATGTCATTTTTAACGCGCCAGTATATTGACACTGTACTCTTGAATTCGGAGCATATTTGGGTTTTTTTTCAATAAGCATTGGAAGTTATGACTTCGTCTTTACTCACAATCCTAAATATTGGGTAGTTTTGCACTAAAATGAAAACTAAAATGGTGTTTGATTTCATTTTCAATCTTTTCTCTTTATAAAGTGTGGAGGTATACGTTGAAATACATGGTAATTGGTCTAATAAGATTATGGCTTGAAAACACCCGCTGGAATGCTCTAAAATGAATTTCTGTAAAATAAATTCGTTTTTTAATATGACGCCGATAAGCAAATCAGAATACTTTAGGTTTTCCCGACGGAATCCATCATCTTCGCACACGAATTAGCGACACTAATCCTAACCCTAACCCCCTTCTAACACTAACCCTAAAACCCTAACCCCTTCTAACCCTACACATTAACCCTAACCCTACACCCGAAAACACTAGCCCCAACCCCTAAACCCTAACCCAAACCCTAACCCTAAACCCTAACCAACTCAACCCCTAACTCTAACCATAAAACCCTAACTCTAACCCCTAGACCCTAACCCTGACCCCTAACCCTAAACCCTAACCTCTAACCCTACACCCTACCCCTCACCCTACACCCCTAACCCTAAAACCCTAACCCCCTTCTAACACTAACCCTAACCCCCTTCTAACCCTATTCGTAAAACCCTAACCCTACACCCCTAAACCCAAACCCTAAACCCTAACCCCTAACCCTAAACCCCAACCCCTTCTAACCCTAACCCTAACCCCCTTCTAACTCTAACCCTAAGACCCTCACCCTTACCCTTACCCCCTTCTAACCCTAACCCCAAAAACCCTAACACTAAAACCCTAACCCCTTAACCCTGACCCTTAAAATTAACCCTAACACAAACCGTAACCCTTAACCCTAGCCCCCAAACCCTAAACCTAACCCAACCCAACCCTAACCCTTACCCTAAAAAAATAATCCTAACCCTAAACTTAACCCAACCCAACCCTTACCCTAAAAAATAATCCTAACCCTAACCCATAACACAACCCTAACCCAACCCTAAGCCTAACCTAACCCTAACCCTAAACCTTAACCCTAACCCATAACCCTTACCCAAACCCTTACCACTAACCCTCAACCTAACCCCATTCTAACCCTAACCCCCTTCTAACCCTAACCCCTAACTCTGAACCTAACCCTAACCCCCAAACCCCTAACCCCTTACTCAAACCCTAACCCAACGCTCACCATAACCCTTACCACCAAACCTTAACCCAACCCAACCCTAACCATAAAACCCT